AGGTCCTGAACCTCCATCCTCTGCCCCAGGCACCTCACCCTTCCCAACAACCAGGACTGAGTCCCTCCTGGGAGGAGAAGAGCCACCATAACGGGGTGCAGGTTGGGGAAGGGGGCTTCCAGCCCACTCCCGTCTCAGGGTCTGCAGGAAAGGGCCCTGCTCTCTAGAAAAGCTGACCTCACCAACCCCTTTCTCCACCCTGGACAGAAGCACTGCCAGAGGATGGGCTGATCTGGAAGACTTGGCAGGAAGGGGACAAGGGAGTGGCCCCGGCAGGGAGGTGGGGTGCTAGAACACCCCCGACCTGCACCTGCCCTAAGCAGCTACCTTGGACCTGATAGTTTCCAGGGGGCCTGGAACTGCAGTCATCATGGGGGTGGGGAACAAGCCTCCAGCTGCACAGCCCACTTCTTGAGTGGCATCAGGGAGGTCACTTGCCCGCTCTGGGCTCCACACACCCCACCCCCAGCCCCTCACTGGACTTGGAGCACCTTCTGGCATGTAATTGCAAGTTAACTTCATTCCACCACCCCCCCAACTCTAGAAGAATCTTACACCCAGGCTTGAGGGTGAACATTGTTTCCCCAGGTCTCCCCACTCCTAGGGAGACAAGGTGGGGTCATGATGTGTGGGCCACACGGCAGAGTGTCCGTTAAAGGAAGACGTGGTGGCTACTTAATTTAATGAGGCCCTGACCCAACCCAGGTCTCCTTCCTTAAACCTTATAGCTGCTCGTGAGGAAGGTAGATGACAAGCCCAAGGCCACACACCTAGTAAGCACACGGTGGAGGACACCAGACAGCCAGCCTTCGGAGAGCCGCTCCACTCGACCTGCCCTGCGTGCCTCCTCTGCAGCTCAGCCCAAGCACCCTTGGGCCCCAACAGGGACATCACCAGACGTCCACTCTTCTCCCCCAGCTCATCTTACCAAGCTCCAGGAAGGTCCATCCCCAGGGTAACCCCAGGAATGCTGCTGGCAGGGGCTCTGGGCCTGAGTCTGAATCTCAACTGCGTCCCCATTGACTGTGGCGTTGAGCCGCTCACAGCTCCTGGCTTGCTTGCTTGCCTTGTCTGTCAAGTCTCGGAGCGATGGTTCTCACCTGTGACACGCTCCGTTAAGCAGCGTTGGTCATGCAGTGCTTGTGCAGCTAGTGGGAATCAGGACTGCCCGTCGGGGCACAGGAAGGGAAGAGGAGGCCCCAAGTTGTTGAAAGAATGGGGTCGTTGGGGAGACAAGGATGCCTGACCCGGACGTTGAGGTGGTCTCTGTGTAAATCCTTCCACTTCCCCAACTTTTAGTAAAGTTAAGTTTAGCACGTTAAAAGGACTAGCGCTGGACCCCACATCTAGACAGATAGGATGGAGACACGGACTGATGGCCTGAAGCAGAAGCGGGGCATTTGGAGCAGGCGTGACCCGAGCCCCGAGGTCCCAGAAATCCCGGAGAGGGTCATGAACAGGCCCCGCCTGTGGCATCGAGGATAAAATTGATCCTGTCTAGACCTTTCTGGGTTTTGTGTTGTTATTTTAAGTAAGCTTTATGCCCAACACGGGGCTCCAAGTCACGACCCCAAGATCAAGAGTCGCGTGCTCTACCTACTGGGACAGCCAGGCGCCCCCCCTGCCTAGAGTTTGGAAGTTATTTATCAAAACTAGCGCTGCCCCGGTTTAAGGATTCCAGTAGTTGCAGGTGGATCATTAGAAGGAAAATGGCGGCCCTCCTCAGCCACTTGGCTTCCTGCAGAGCCAGCCACATGTACCTCTCCCAGCTGGTGGTTCTGGTATTTACCTGCACGTCTGTATCCTCTTGTATTACTGCATTTTAGCTTGTCGGTTTCAGTCATAATCTGTTGACTTGCCACTAGGGAAGCTGAGGATTTAGTTCTTTCCCTCCCTGACCCAACCACACTCTCAACAACGAAATGATCACCTCGGTCAGGGCCATGTTCAGTGTTGACGCCGTCACATCTCTGTAAACACCGCTCTCAGCCGGGAGTCGAGACTATCCCCCATCCAGCTGCTGCTTGTCCCTGGAGGTGTTTCGCATTTGCTTAATTTGTAATAAATACATCACACCAGTTTAGCCTCGAACTTTTTACCAAATCTTGAAAGCTTTTTTTTTTTTTACGATCTCTGGACTCAATACATGTCATGAGGATCTGGACGGAATGCTAATCAATTTTTTGGTTATGAGATCCTAGTATCCAGCACATTATAACTCATAGTTAATTCACGATCACACTGAATTGGAGATTTCACTAAGAGGAAATATTAATATACATAATACGCATTTCTCCATTATGATTTATACCAGAAAGTATATAACACTCTCATTTAAGAAACAAAAACTACGGAAAAGTTTTTTTAAATCTCTAGACTCTACGAGTGTTCTGTCCTGAGCATTTTCTGACTACCCCCAATGGAACTCCCTACCAGAAGTCTTGTTTCTTGGACTCCATACCTTCGTTTCTTGGTTTACTCCCTTCTCTGGGTGAACCATATTCTATAGTAACTTTCTGAGGAAGGGGACAGGGGATGCAAGGTTTTACAACTCTGACACCCATCTTTTTTCCATCTTCATGCTTAATTGACGGGTATAGAATTTGGATGGGTATAGAATTCTATGTTGGAAATCATCTTCCTTTAGCATTTTGGGATTTGCTCTTTTCCATTTTTATAGATTGTCTATTGCTGTGTTGAAGATTTGCCCAAACACAGCAGAGTGATGTCTTTTCTGTGGGTCAGGATTTGGGAAGTGGCTTAGCTAGTTGATCCAGCCTAGAGTCATTCGTAGGTTGCAGTAAAGCTGTAGGCCAGGGCTGCAATCACCTGACCTTAACTGGAGCTAGAGGATTAGCTTCCCAGGTGGTTCCCTCACGCAACCAGCAAATCACACCAGTGGTTGCTAGGAGGCCTCAGTTCTTCCCCATGCGGACCTCTCCATAGGGACACTTGAGTGTCCTAACAACATGGCGGCTGGCTTCCCAGAGCAACGGATCCCAGAGAGACAGATGGAAGTTGCAGGGTCTTATATGGCCAAGACCCAAAGTAACACACCGCTTCAGCCATATCCCACCCACAAGCCTTACTCCATTTGAGAGGAGACTGCATGCAAGGGTGTGAGGACCCCAAAGCAGGAATCTTTAAAGGCCATCTTGGAGGCTGGCTTCTAGTTTCTGGTGTTGTTTGGGGAACTCTAAAATAATTCTTTTCCTGATCTTTTGTATGCGGATTGTTCTGTTTTCTCTCTCCTCAGTTTGTAGAAAAAATCATTTTTCTCTCGAGCCTTTTGGGATATGATGTGTAAACTTCTATTTTCATCTATTGTTCTGGGCACTGGGGACACTTTCAGTCAACAAACTCATGTTCTGTTTAGGGACATTTCTTTGCATTCTTTTCTTTATAATTTCCTCTCCTCTATTTCCTTTATCTCTGTCTGGAATTCCTCTTCTTCAGTCTTTGACATACGGTACAAATCTGGTCATGTTCTCATCTTTACTGTTTTTCATTTCTTTCCTGCTCTATTTTCTGGAAGATTTCTTCCATCTTATCTTCCAAATAATTGATTGAGCTTTTCATTTCTATCATACTTTTTATTTCCCAAAACCATTCTTTGTTCTCTGAATGTTTTTTCTTTTTCTTTTTTTAATTTTTTTAAAGATTTTTTATTTATTTATTTGACAGAGAGGGAGACAGCGAGAGAGGGAACACAAGCAGGGGGAGTGGGAGAGGGAGAAGCAGGCTCCCCGCTGAGCAGGGAGCCCGATGTGGGACTCGATCCCAGGACCCTGGGATCATGACCTGAGCCAAAGGCAGACACCTAACGACTGAGCCACCCAGGCACCCCCTTTTTATATATTTTTTTAAAGATTTTATTTATTTGTCAGAGAGAGAGGGAGCGCGGCAAACAGAGGGAGAGGGAAAAGCAAGCTCCTCGCTGAGCAGAGAGCCTGATGCAGGACTCGATTCCAGGACCCTGGGATCATGACCTGAGCTGAAGGCAGCTGCTTAACCAACTGAGCCACCCGGGCGCCCTGAATGTTCTTTTTAAGTACTTTCCTGTTCTTGCTTCTTATTTTTGCTTCTCTTTTCCCTCTGAAGATGTTAATGATTATTTCACTTTGGTTTGGGGCATTTTCTTCTCCCTGCTTTGTTTCTGTACTCTTTGGTTGGTTGGCTGATTTGGAAGACTCTCTCTCGTGTCTGAGGTTTTCCTTGAATGTTCTGCTCATATGTAAGAGTGGGGACTAAAAAGTTATTTGGAAGCTCTGAGCACATGACTGGGGCTTGTCCGCTGAGTTTTCGCCCTGGGGGACGTGGCTGAGCCATTTCCTGGGAGAACCTTCCAAGTCAGTGTCCTCAGGCCTTTCCTCCTGGACTGGCCGCACTTGTCCAGCAGCAAGGGAGAAGGCTGCCCAGGGGGCTGCCTGGTTCTAGGAGTTGAATCAGGAAGAAGGCTGGGGCTGTCAACATTCAGTCTGTCTGCTCAGCGCTCTGTTTTCTGGCTGTCCCTCCCTGCTCAGCGGGACTTAGAGTTGCTTTCTAGAGGGCAGTTTTCACCTGTCTGTCTGTGTTTCCAGCTTTCAAAATGGTGAGGCTGCCTCCCCTCCCATATCCCCCATCCTCATGCACACGTGTGTTTTTAAAAATTCTCTTTCCCATCTTGCGTAGGGAAAAAGTAGATGCAGGAGGGAGGGAGCAAAAATAGATGCATCCCCAAGTCTCCCCAGAAGCCATCATTGTCTTGATCATTGTCATGGAGGACCCCCCCACACCCTGGCTGGCCTCGGAAGTTACACACACTGAGGGAGGGAACACGGAAGTTAAGGGTAAGGGACGGAGCCAGGATTTATTCTGGGGCTAAGTGTTGTTCAGGTCCAGCTCCTGGCTCCCGGAGCGACCTCCCCTCCTTACCTGACACTCGGGGCAATCCGGAGTCATGGGGTCAACTCCCAGAATCCCAGGGTCAGGAAGGCTGGGGGCAGGGCCAGGCATTGGACAAACAGACCAAAGGTGAGACGCCTTGCGGCTCCAGACCGGGCCTGGTCAGCTGGACGGGTGCACAATGAGGTGAGTGGGAGCCCCCCACCGTCTCCCCGGCAGGGGCGAGGGGTCAGAACAGGGCTCCTCACCCGCCCCCCTGCCGCCGCCCTCAGGCTGCTGGTCTTCCTGGGCGTGCTGTGGGGCTCAGCAGCCACACTCCCCGGCCCACAGTGGCCTGAGCCCGTGTTCGGGCGCCTGGCATCGCCTGGCTTCCCCGGGGAGTACGCCAACAACCAGGAGCAGCGCTGGACCCTGACGGCACCCCCCGGCTACCGCCTGCGCCTCTACTTCACCCACTTCCACCTGGAGCTCTCCTACCTCTGCGAGTACGACTATGTCAAGGTGCCGACAGTGGGGAGGGGGGGACGACCCGGACCCTCTCGAGGGCTGGGGGACTGGGACCCCTGGGAGCAGGGAGGGAGGGAGCGAGTGCGGGCCTTGCGTCTTGCCCTCCCTCCCCGTGACTCCAACCCTACAGCTGAGCTCAGGGAGCAAGGTGCTGGCCACGCTGTGCGGGCAGGAGAACACGGACACGGAGCGCGCCCCCGGCAATGACACCTTCTACTCGCCGGCCTCCAGCCTGGACGTCACCTTCCGCTCCGACTACTCCAACGAGAAGCCGTTCACGGGCTTTGAGGCCTTCTATGCAGCAGAGGGTGAGGCGAGAGGAGGCTGGGGTCGGGGGGAGGGACGCGAGATGGCCCATCTGCCCGCGGGGGTGACTCTTTCTTAGGCCAGGCCAGCTCTCCCTTCGGTCCCCTCACCTCCCTGAAGCTGTGTTCCTGCCAAACCAGCGGGCGCAAACCAGCGGGTGAGGAGCCCGGCCCTCCGTCCAACACCAGCCCCAGGGCACATATCAGCAACAGCCGTGACCCCTGCCCTCCGGCTGAGCCCCATGGTGTGCGGGGTGCTGAGCTGGGACGTGCTCCTAGCGCCGCCCCCCGCCCCCGCTCCCCCATGAGGCTAGGGCCCAGTGATCCCACCTCCGGATGGGAAGTGCAGCCCCACCGGCCTGAGCCCCGCTGAGGACACCCAGCCTGTGCTCCCTGTGCGTGGGCTTCCAGCCGAACACTTGATTTCAGAAAGGGGCTCCTGCAGGGACCAGCTGTGTGACCTCGGGCAAGTGGCTCCACCTCTCTGTGCTCCTCAGGAGGCTGCAGCAGGGTTTGCTGGAACCTGGGTCATAGCCCCGCTCGTTGGGCTCGACGGCTGGTTGCTCCTGCTGGTCGCCCATTAGCTGCATGACTTTGAGCAGGACACTTAAGCCATCACTCATTTGAAAAAAGGGGGGTACTGACATCTACCTCCAAGTGTTCTGAGAAGGTTATCGTGAGCCTCAGCCTGTTCGATGCTTGGCCGGGCATCAGCCACTTCCAGACATGAGGAGACACCTCTTGGGTCAGCCATGAGGCTGAGTCTGCTCCCGGGCCCCAGTACCACCTCGTCTCCTCCCCTCTGACCACCTGCCTGACCCGCCCCTCCCCCAGACATCGATGAGTGCCAGGTGCCCCCGGGACAGGCACCTCCCTGTGACCACCACTGCCACAACCACCTGGGTGGCTTCTATTGCTCCTGCCGCAGGGGCTACGTCCTCCACAGGAACAAGCACACCTGCTCAGGTGAGCCGCACCTGCTCCGGTGCACCGGGGCTGGGGAAGGTGTGGGGCAGACTCTGTGCCCAGCCCAGCCCCCACCTTGGCCCAGAATACAGCCAGCTCCTAAAAGCCATAAGTGCTCTGCCCGGGGGTCTGGAGGGACCACTGACCTTGGCCTACTGGGTACTCCTCCTGGCAGGCTGTCCCCCCTCCTGCCAGGCTGTCCCCCCTCCTGCCAGGCTGTCCCCTCATCTATTCATAATCCGGAATCCCTCCCCCTCCTCCGTTCCATCCTCGGCTCCCTCTCATGGGTCTTCAGCCCGCCCCTTGGATCATATGTGTTGGGCCCCCACTATGTACCTACCGTGTCTGGGCTCTGGGCCCCTGCTACAGCCACCTCACCCTCCTCGGGCTCCCAGGTTGGAGGGATGGGGAACAGAGGCCCAGCTCACACAGGCTTCCCTGCACAAAACTTCCCAGTCGGGGCAGGGTGTGCTCAAGGCGGCTGGCTCCCCAGCAGGCCGACCGACCCCTTTGGCCTCTACTGCCCGCACCCTCCGAGCTCCTGCCAGGTGCCAGGTGCCCAGATGGGAAACCCGGGGGTGCCCTAGGGAGGGGGCAGCCCCAAGCCTCAGTGCTGCCCCTGCCTTCCCCGGCTCGGGGTCTCTCCCCCAGTGTCTCTCCCTGTCTCTCTGTTCTCTTCCAGAGCAGAGCCCCTAGCCTCACCTCTCGCTCCGGTCTGGGTCGGGCCGAGATTGCTGCTACCTGCAGCCCCCCATCCACCCCATGCATCCCTCCGTGGACCTAACAATAAACCTGCTTCCGGCTCCACCTACTGCTTCGTGTCTCTTGGGTGGCACGGTGGGGAGAGGGAAGTGGTGTGCACTCTGGCCCCCTCCCCTCTCTCCCTCCCCTCATCACAGCCTGGATGAATCCTAGTTGGTGGGAACCCCCTCCATGGGGCCACCGGCCCCTTTGCCAGAAAGCCTTGCCCAGCATCCCCCAATCCATTCTGAAGATGGGGCACTGAGGCCCAGAGAGGGATGAGGGCTTGCTTGAGTTCACACAGGGAAACCAATCTCTCTCTACTCCCCCACTGGGTCCCCAGCGGCTGAGCTGGGAGCGTCCTTGAATCAGCTCCTGTTCAGGGGTTGACTCATGCCCCAGGTGTGCTGGGCTGGGGGAGCCTGACCCAGAGCAGAAAGGCCCAGGGAGATAGCCATCGATGGGCAGGCTGGTCCCCCGCATCCAGGGGCTGTTCCCTCTGCCCTGTGGGGAGCAGGCCCATGGAGGAAGGCAGGCTGTGCTGGGACTCCTCACTTCTGGAAGCCTCCCAGCTCAGACGCCTTCTGCAGCCTGGGGTGGGGTTGGGCAGATGCCTCCCATGGCTGGTGCAGAAAGAAGCTCACTCTGCAAGCACATGACCGGCTGGCCCGGTGGGGAAAGAGGGCACCAGACATGCTTTTGATCAGTGTGAACTTGAACTTCCCTCAACTAACCCCCAGGGCAGTGCCCAGACCCTGGGTGAGAGGTAAAGTGGACAAGGGGAGGCCCCTCTGTTCCCCGTGGGGACCCAGGGAAGGCTGGACTGGTCCCAGCTGGGTGCAGGTGGGAGCCCCGGGGTGGATGAATTTGGGAGTTGCTGGGGTCCGGTGTGGATGAAGGACACCCTCATCTCCTTCCCCCTCAGCAGAGTCTAACCTCACTCACTTTGTCACCCCCAGAGTTGTGACTTGGGCCCAGGACTCCCCAGGCCCAGGAGCCCCTGGGGGTGTGGGTGGGGTCCTGGAGGTTGTACATCTGAGTGCCACCTGTTTCAGCCAAATCCAGGAAGCCCAAGAAACTCTAGATTGTTCCTTCACCCATGAGGTGGGGTGTTCAATCTGACTGAGCCAGAGGGCAGTGAGGGCAGCCAGGGGGGCGGAATCAGGCTGCTGGCACCCGCTCACAGTGGCCCATCCTCTCTCAGCCCTGTGTTCAGGTCAGGTCTTCACCGACCGGTCGGGGGTTCTCAGCAGCCCTGAATACCCGCAGCCGTACCCCAAACTCTCAAGTTGCACCTATGGCATGCAGCTGGAGGAGGGGTTCAGCATCCCTGGACTTTGTGGGGTCCTTTGATGTGGAGACACACCCGGACACCCAGTGCCCCTACGATACCCTCAAGGTCCGGCTCCCTGGATCTACACCTCCTCTGGCTCTGGCGGGTCCAGAGGTGACAGGGCCCCTTCTGCTTTCAGATTCAAACCAACAAAGAGGAATATGGCCCATTTTGTGGGACAACGTTGCCCCCTAGGATTGAAACTAAAAGCAATGCCGTGACCATCACCTTTGTCACTGATCAGTCGGGGGACCACACAGGTTGGAAGATCCGCTACACCAGCACAGGTGAGGGCAAGTGGGTCTTGGATCCCGGCAGCAAGCTCTTCCCGGAGTGTCGAGGAGCTACATAGGATGGAACTCTTCCTGACTAGGCCTGGGGAGTGCAGGGGAGTAGAAAGTTTTCCTCGGCCCTCTAGGGTTCCTGACTGGGTCTGAAAAGTAGACAAAGACAGATCAACAGGAGAAAAACATCCACCCTTATGTAATATAAGGTCTACGTGGCATGGGAGACTTCGCAAGGCAGGAAAGACCCAGAGGAACACTTAGGCTTGCATATTTCTGTGTGGGGGGTTTGCAGAAGAGGAGACAGTCATGGGGAAAAATGACAGGTTAAGGCAAGTGTTGTAAATGGGGGAAACTTAGCAAGGCCTCTTTATTTGGATTCTTCTTGGTTCCCTTTGTCTTTGGAGATAAGGATGCTTCTTCCCTCCTGGTAGAGGGAGGGCAACTGTCACGTGACGGTACGTGAGGGTCTTCTGACTGTGATGGGGAAGAAGGGTGAGGGAGGGGGCAGAGGTCCGAGGGATCTCCCTGCTTCTGTTTTCTCAAAGTCCTTCAGCTTAAAATATTCAACATGCCCAGGGGCCGTATTTTGGGGTAGTGCATCCTGAACTCCATCAGAAGACAAACCAGGTTTGAGTGAGGGTGGTCTGTGAGACAGTGGTCCCTAAGGGGAAATGCCACCCACTCACCCACCCACCCACCCACCCCACCTATCCCTCTCTTCTCTCTTCCTTCTCTCCCTCCCTTCTTGCAACCACCCATCCACTCAACCGGCCCTCCTTCCATCTGTAGGAGAGGAAAAAACAATTTTCCCTCTGCCCTCCTAAATTCTTGACTGGGACCAAGAAACAGATTAACAAGAAGAAAACAAACAAGTTTGTTAAGGTGTATGTCTCATGCATACGTGGGAGATTACCCACGGGCGAATGGGGACTTAGAACTCAAGGTGTCAGTACCATCTTCAGCTAAAGACAAAAGAGAGGAGGGTGTGGGGGAAGCCAGTTATGGGGAGGTGCCCATGACTGGGAAAAGTACGGTAAACAAAAGTAAGGTTTGTTATACAGATGTAAGACCCTGCCTTCCCCAGGGACGAGTTTCTAGTGATTTAGTCATCCTTCTCCTGGGACAGAGAGGGAGACACTCTTAATGGACATTTCTTGTGTGAATATAAAGTTCCCTTACAAAAGGATAACTTTTACTCTGTTTTCAGACCTTCTCCTGTGTCTGCTATTTCTGAAAATAATCAGCTCAAAATAATCCTTATGCCAAAGAGGCATATTCTGTAGTGCCATATTCTGCCACCCTTCATATCCATCCATCAAAAACAAAAAAACAAATCCCACTGAGTAAATTTGAAGGCTTAATTGGCTTTATTAAATGATTTGTGAATTGGGCAGCATCCCATCTACCACGTGGAGGGGAGCTCTGAAGGGAGTTGTACAAAATGGAGGGTTTTCACAGGAAGGAAGGTAGGGCAAGAAAGATAATAAGCAAAAGAAAAGATTGTTCTAGGCAAGATCACCTTCTCCTGGTGACCTTGCATCTCTCCCAACTTCTCTCCTTCCTTGGCTCCCTCCTTCCTTCCATCCATCCATCCATCCTTCTTTCTTCCATCCATCCATCCTTCCTTCCATCCATACATTCATCCATCCATCCCTCTTTCCTTCCATCCATCCTTCCTTCCTTTCAACCATCCTTCCTTCCTTCCATACATCCTTCCATCAACCCGTCCATCCTTTCATCCATCTACCCATCCATCTTCCCATCCATCCATCCTTCCATCCATCCATCCATCTTCCCATCCATCCATCCTTCCATCCATCCATCCATCTTCCCATCCATCCACCCATCCATCCAACTATCCCTCCACCCATCCATCCATCCATCCATCCATCATCAATCCATCCATCCACCCATCCATCCAACTATCCCTCCACCCATCCATCCATCCATCCATCCATCCATCCATCCATCCTTCCATCCATCCTTCCATCCATCCATCCTTCTTTCCTTCCATCCATCCATCCATCTTCCCATCCATCCATCCATCTTCCCATCCATCCATCCTTCCATCCATCCATCCTTCCATCCATCCATCCTTCTTTCTAACCAACCACCCATCCAGGAAGCTCAGAGCTCAGGTTTGGGTGTCAGACTGCCTAGGTTTGTGTCCAGGCACAAACCTGTTTCCTGGCTATGTGACACTGAACCTCTCATATAACTTTTCTGAGCCTTAATGTCCCAATTATTCCAATTAAGGACAACATCTCCTTCAAAAGGTGTCAATTCATGGGCTAATGCAGGGAAAGCATTGGGTGCAGGGTGTGGCACAGAGGAAGTGATAATTGGATTAAAGGGATTGGGGTAGTTTTTAAATTAGAAAATTGGATTAAAAAAGATTAACCCTTGGGCCACCTCTGTTGGAAATGTGGGAAGGGGCGAGACTGGTTGGGAGGAGGGAGCCCAGCACTATGAGAACAATTCGTTTGTCTCCTGTTCATTTCTGAGAGTCTTTTCATTTTCCTGTAGGTCAAAGTAATAAAACTACAACTGAAGTGCTGGTTTCAGAGCGACTCAAAGGGGGAGTCAGGTCTGCCAGGCTGGTGGGGGAAGGGCCAGGACAGAGCCTTGAGGCTTGTGTGAGGGAGGGAAGGTGCCAGCCGGATGCCGGCCAGGGCTGTCCCTGGAGGTGGGGACTGAGAGCTGCCCTGGGACACAGAACCCAGCGGCTGGAGGGAGAAGGTGACTCAGCAGAAGACCAGCACAGGCCGAGGGGTAGCGGTGGGGGTGGGCTGAAGGCTTGGGGTGACAACGGGCCAGGGTTTGGGGGCAAGAGTGAAGGAGAGTCTCCCTGGAGGCCTGCACACTGTGGGCACGTGCTTTCAAGGGGAAGCAGGAGGCTTCCTGGGTGCCGGAGAGGATCTGGACCCCAGGTTTCCCCCAGCAGTGAAGGCTGTGCCACAGGGCTGCTGTGGGGGGGTCACGCGCACCCACTCTTGCCCAAGCTCAGCCAAGCACCAGCCCGGGTGCTTTACATCTGGCCTTCACCACAACCCTGGAGGGTGAGTGACTATTCTCCCCTCCCATCTCACAGCTGAGGAAACTGAGGCGCACGGAGTTGAAAGTAACTGCTGGGAACGCGGTCTAGCTCTTTTCCTCCAACCGACACCGTGGCTTGGTTTTGGGCCGCGTGGCTCAGGTTCCTGACGCGGAGCAGACGCTGCCCTGAGAGTGTGGAGGCCGCAGGGGCTCCGCGCGGGCCGGCCTGTCTGGCAGCCTTGGCTGAGGCCCAGGCCCTGCTGCAATTCCTCATTTGTGCAATAAGCGACCCAGTGTAATCTTGCCTTTGAGGTTTTAAATCTGACGGACTCTACCCCACTTGCGGCGAGCTCTTTTTGTGTTAAGGGATCCATGTATAAATCAAGACCTTTAAATGGCTAAAATCAGAGCGGCGCGCTGGAGACCGCATCAAAACCCCTCACTGAGCCCGGCCTCCCTCTCCGCCCCACCCCCAACAGCTCATCCCTGCCCTGGTCCGGTGGCGCCACCTAATGGCCATGTCGCGCCGGTGCAAGCCGAGTACATCCTGAAGGATCGCTTCGCCGTCTTTTGCGAGACCGGTTATGAGCTTCTCCAGGTAAGTTAATACAAAACCGTAAGTGCAGCAGGATCGCGATCGGTCTGATACGCATACATGTGCGAAAGTGGGAAGATAGCTGTGGTCAGCATGCTGGTTTCTTTTGCCTATGACTGAACAATACAAATCAAAGAAAACTCGGGGGAGAAGAGAGATGGCTATGGAGAATTTTTTATTCTTAGGAATTGTGCCTTTATACAAAAAGCTTTAAAAAGGCCTTTGATTGAAAGCTGGTGATTAAAGTGGACTCTTCTCCGTTCACACATCACAGCAGCTCTTGTAAAGCGGCTGAAACAAGGGAAGGATGAGTTTGCCATCCTCCTTCCACCTGCTCTGCGAGACCGCCTTGCATTAAATGAGGCCCCGCCCCCTGGCCACGTGACGACCTTAACTGGCCTCCACTCCTGGGCCCACAAAAAATTAAACGGCCCTGGGAAACAGTATATTCTGCAAAGTTATAAATAGTGACCTCTGTTAAGGGAAAGGGAGGGTAATTTTTAAAAATGCTTACTGTGTTGCTTTAGGGGCACAGGTAAGGGATTAACCTTCTTCAAAATTGTCACTGAATCCCAGTGGTAAAAAGTAATAACATTGAAATGATAGCTAGCTATTCAATCCAGTCCCGTGGAGGGACAAATCCTCCTCCCCCCGCCCCCCAAAAAGGCACTTTTCCCACCTTGCAAAGTTCCCCGGGGAAGGCTCTTTCCCACAGCTCCTTGGACTGCAAACCTCTTCAGTTTCTGATCTGAAAAAAAAAAAAAATTAAAAAATCACTTAAGCATAAAGGCTTCTTCTGCCAAAGTGATCTTTCATAAACTTTAGAAAAATGTTTCTCCGTAAACAATACTAGCAATAAAAACTGAGAATACAAGTGTGAAGCTTATCAAAGTATTTTTAATAACTGTCCTGCAGCTAATGGCCACAGGCTAGAAAAATCCAGGCACACTCGCTCTGTGTTGGAGCAAGTTGGCCTTCCCCAGGTTCCGACCACCCCCCTTTGGCACTTTATATAAAGAACTGGTGGGAAATCAGCGGGAACTTGTGAGATCTGATGTGTTCTTGGATTTAAGGGGAAAGCAAGAAATATTCATAAACTGCTGCAGAGGCCCACATTTGATTCCTACAGTGCCAAATACATCTTGAAAGAGGAGATCTATCCCGTGGGGGACAAACCCCCCCAGAGCTATTGGGGTGTGTCCAGTCATGTGGGTGTGGCATCCCACTCCGGGCACCTCCCGAACCCCCCGCCCAAAAGAGGAACCGCTGTAGGAGCACAGCCTTGGGGTGTGGCATCATGATATAAATAAGGTAAGTAATATTTGCTGAATTCTTCTTTAGGGTGATTTGCCCCTGAAATCATTTGCTGCAGTCTGTCAGAAAGATGGATCTTGGGACCAGCCGATGCCCAAGTGCAGCAGTAAGGCCACGTGACCATGGGTCCTGGGACGGCTTCTGCTGCTTTGCCTGCTTTGATCACTGCTTCGGGTGTTTTCTGAAATGGTCTCCTTATCAGGGACTGAATTTCAAATTTGCTTCTCTTCCCCAGCCTCTCTGGGCACTTGCAGGTTCAAACGGAACCAAGCTACCAGGAAAAGTATTTCCTTTGGAAAAGCATGATCTTTAAAAATATTTTTCCAGGTGTAAAATATTGAGGATGGGAAAGAGAAAATGAGACCTTTTAATTTCGCCAGTCCCACTGTTATCACACCCCTCCAATCACACACATCTCTCACACGTGCGTTCACACACACCCCAAACTGGGGTGAGGGGGTACATTACCATTTTGTCCGTCTTATTTTAAATATTTTTTCAATTATAAAATACATGTTAATTAGAAAAAATAAGTTTACAAAAACATAGTGAGAACCTCTCTTGCCCAAATCCCCAAACTACTGCTGAGGGTTTAGGGCCCATTCCTTCATTCCTATGCTGTATACACGAACGGATTTCACTATTATATACTTTTTAAAAATTATTTTTTTAGGATTTTAAAAAAATTTATTCCTTTAACAGACACCAAGAGCACAAGCAGGGGGAGGGGCAGAGGGAGAAGCAGGCCTCTGGCTGAGCAGGGAGCCCCCCCCCATGCAGGACTCGATCCCAGGACCCCAGGATCATGACCGGAGCTGAAGGCAGTCGCTTCACCCAGTGAGTCACCCAGGCGCCCCTGCTATTATATACTTTTTATTTTTTTTATTTTATTATTTTTTTTTTTCATGAAAGACAGAGAGAGAGAGAGAGAGGCAGAGGGAGAAGCAGGCTCCCAAGGAGCAGGGAACCCAATGCGGGACTCGACCCCAGGACCCTGGGATCATGACCTGAGCCGAAGGCAGACGCTTAACCATCTGAGCCACCCAGGCGCCCCTATATACTTTTTAACCAAAATGGGATACTAAGTCTGATCGCACTGTGCTCTTTCCCTCCATGTCGTGGGGATCTCTTTCCGTATCAATCCAAGTATTAGCAGAGCTGCTCACTCATCCTTGTTAACGACAGCATGGCGCCCCTACCGCAGTGCTCCCAGATTTTCACTATTACATACACTGCCGTAGTGAACGCCCCTGTAAATATATTTGTGCATACTTCATGCAAACGTTTCTACAGAATTCCTAGGGAATTTAAATATTTTCATTTCATAAATTTACATTCCCACCAATGAGACTGTCTATCCTTAGTTCAAAAGCAGTAGAGCTGGGAGTGAGAGGTCTGGATATGAACCCCAGCTGGGCCACTTAAGTGAGTTGGGTGTGGGCATCTCTACAGAGAAGTGGACAGCACTTGGCACAGAACCAGGCACACAGCTATGAAGTTGCGGAAAACTACTGAAATGTAACCTTTTAAAATATCCAGGGAGAAATCCATCGATTTTAGCTCTACTGTGGGAACCAGACTTCTAGACTGCAGTCACTTGGGATCCTAGACTGGGCAGTTATTTCACATTAGTTATGTCCCCACAGGTGTGCATTTTAATGCAAAGTCAAGGTATTATGACTTCCGGGTCCCCTACACATTTATGAAAAGGAAACTAAGAAGCAGCCAAGTCCTTCTTTGTATTGTTCTTTGACCTTTAAGGCCGACTGAACTGCAAACCAAGGACCATTTTCCCGGGATCCAGCCCGGGCAGGAACGTGCAGGCTGGCCCGATAAGAACCCTCCGTGCGGCTGCCTGCAGACCTGGAGGTTAGAAGTCAGGGCGCCTGGCACCTGGATGACTCGGTGAAGCGTCTGCCTTCGGTTCAGGTCATGATCCCAGGATCCTGGGATTGATTCCCGCATCGGGCTCCCTGCTCGGCGGGAAGCCTGCTTCTCCCCCTCCCCCCAGCTTGTGCTGTCAAATAAGTAAAATCTTAAAAAGTCAGGGCGCTAAGGAGTCCAAGTGGTTTCAAACTCCCTTCCTTTATGAATCAAAGGGCTCCTACCCCAGGGGCTTCACCTCACTCTAGCCATTTAGTTCAGAACAGGGAGGAGGGGTTGTCTTTAAAATCACACTAAGGCGATTCCCTCTTCAGAGAGACGGAGGATGTCCGCCGCATGGGCGGTGGGGGGGATGACTATGGCTCCGAGCTCCAGCACCCCAGTCAGCACCCCAGCACCACCGCCTGTCAGTCTTCTCACCGGCCGCCTCCTCCCGTGTTCACTGGTAGTTGGCCGTGGCCCTCCTGATGACCTACCCAGCGGCCACGTGGAGTACACCACAGGCCCTGAAGTGACCACGTACAAAGCGGTGATTCAGTACCACTGTAATGAGATCTTCTACACAATGACACCTGATGACGGGAAGCCAACTCTTCAAAGTTGGGGGTGCGTGATATTTGAACCAAAGCCATCACGATCTGAAAATAAACTTGAGCCGACATTTTTGGCTAAGGCTACACAAAAGATTAAAAGGCACTTCTTCCACCCACTAAGTGAAATATTACAGCTGAAGTGACTTTAATGTCAATTTGCAGGAATCTGAAAACAGATATCTAGTAAATGACTACTACAAACACACAATATATTCCAAATGGTTTAATTTAACAAGTCAAAACCTTATCATTAAGCACTTGAGATCTTGATACATATTCAAGTTACACATCTAAAAGGTTTCCACTTTGCAAGCAAAACATGGTTAATGCAGAGACCTCCTATTTATGAAATCATGTAAAATGGTTATTCAGACACCTCTATTTCCCACTGATGCTCAAGAATCAACATTTTTCAAGGGGGTATTCAAGCAAATGACAACCACCTTATACATGCAGTTAAACATTTTTGCTTTTCCAATGATTTGCAGGTAAATGTGTGTGAGGCTGATGGATTCTGGACGCGCTCCAAAGGAGAAACATCACTCCCAGTCTGTGAGCCTGGTAATGGATACATTTATACAAGAGATTCGTAACTGATGGAAGTACAACGGGGTGGGAGACATCAGCAGAGCTTTAGCTGTGGTGGGCAGAAATGGAACTTCAGAACTTGGCTCTTACACCAAGTTGTTATCTCCAAATAATACGTTCTCATCACCCCCTTTCCGGACGGAGAGGTTGTTAGGTGCTGACTTCATCAGTCACTTGATTATTTCTGACCTTGTAACTAGGCAAGCATAAAAAATTAAGTGATTTTAAAAATTATCTTGAACCATTTTTACATTTATAAACACGAGTTCTGCTGCGGAGTTACTTTTCTCTGTATAACTATTAAAACCCCAAAGCTAGTAACTTCATTATTTCCCTAAGCAATTGTTTTAAATGACATTTAGTTTTTAAACATTAATGCAATTTGCTTTTTAATAGTACTCAAAAAAAAAAATTTTTTTTAACCAGAATTGGCTCTGAAGATAAAGTTGAGTACAGTGATTAAGAAAAATAAGGTGGTAATATATTCGTTACTCCTTTATTTGGCTTAAATTGGTTTAAAAAAATATCTTAGCTGACACAACATTTTTAAGTGTTAATGCCAGTATTCTGACACAACAGGAAACATAGTTGCTACATTAATGAGCATATTCAGTTAGCCATACACAGTAAATTTAGTTTGGAAGCATCAACTAGACCAAAAATAATTTCTGAACCTGAAGGTTCCTGGCTACAACTGCAACATTCTGATTTTTAAAACATTTGTATGTTCAAAGGTGAAACGAATTTTGCAAATCCTGGGATAGTGACCTTAGTTCCTGCTTTCCCAGAACTACATGGTAAATACCCCATTTTACAAGTAGGAAAACAAGCAATGAAAAGGTTATTTCCTTTCACTTTCTAATCACACCACCCAGCACATCAGCTCAGACAATTCCTGTTTGCCCTATTAATTTTCCCAATCGTGTAGACCAAATTATTTTAGCAAAACAAATTAGTTCTAAAATTTTCACTCACCTCATTTTTACCAAGAGGTTTTATCGGGTCTTTGAACTGTGTTTTAAAGCAGCCTCACCTGTTTAGGTGGGCGCCCACTCAACCCGAGGTAACTTTTGGATGACATCAGACACAATTCCAAAATGGTAATAACTGTGGGAAAAACCACCGCCCGGTTTCTATAAAGGCTCTATCTGCTTCTTTCCCCAGTTTGTGGAATATCAACTCGTACCATAGGAGGTCATATATATGGAGGGCAGAAGGCAAAGCTTGGTAATTTCCCCTGGCAAGTCCTGTTATTAGGCCAAGCTACAGCAGCAGGTGCACTCCTGCCGGACAGCTGGATCCTAACAGCTGCTCACGCTGTATACGTGCAGAAAGCTGCCTCCTCCTTAGACATCAGAATGGGTACCCTGGAGAGACTGTCAGCTCATTACATACAAGCCTGGGCCGAAGCCATTTTTATACATGAAGGTTATACTCACGATGCTGGTTTTGATAACGACATAGCACTGATTAAATTGAAGAACAGAGTTGTAATCAATAGTAACATCCTGCCTGTTTGCCAGGAAAGGAAGCTGAATCCTTCATGAGGACAAATGACATTGGAAGCGCATCTGGATGGGGATTAACCCAGAGGGGTTTTCTTGCCAGAAATCTAATGTTTGTTGACATACCATTGTCGACCATCAGAAATGTACTGCTGCGTATGAGAAGCACTCCTATCCAGGGGGAAGGGTAACGGAGAACATGTTTTGTGCTGGCTTAGACGGTGGGGGCAAGGACAGTTGTAAAGGGGACAGTGGGGGGGCGTTAGTGTTTCTAGGTAATGAGACAGAGATGGTTTGTGAGAGGAATAGTGTCCTGGGGTTCCATTAATTGTGGGGAAGCAAATCAGTATGGAGTCTACACCAAAGTTATTAACTATATTCCCTGGATCAAGAACATAATTAACAATTTTTAATTTGTAGGTCTTCAGTGATTCCTTAATTTTAAAAATTCCTGTAAAAGGTCTTAGCAGCCATGTGGCCTGAGAGACACGAACACAGCAGCTGTCGCTCTAACCCCCAAACCACTGCCACACCATGGGTCAGACTGCCATTCCAGGCGCTTCTCATTCGCCAGGTTTTTCGCCTCTTACTCTCTGATTCAAGGGGACACAGACGATTAGGTGGGATCACCTTTGCCAATCCAATAGAAACTCGCTGGTTAAATCTGCATTTAATTACTTACAAAGTCCAGTATATTTTGTACTGGTTATGTACATTTCTACGAATTGCCTGTTCATGTTCTCTGACTACGTTTCCACCATGTCGGGGCTTGTTCTTACTGATCATCTAACACAGCTTTATATGTTATAGCAATATTGGCTCAGGGATAACACTGAATCATGATTTTTTTGTAAATAAACTGGACACATCTATACTTTGGCTTAGGTATTGACTGACTCCCATGTCTAAAAACCAATACCACAAATTGGTGAGATCTAATTTTTCACTTATCAAATTGGCAGACAAAAAGAACATGGAATAGCACTATTTCACATTGTCAAAGACAACACACATTTTCTAAAGGACAATTTGGCAATATATTTGAAAAGCCTTGAAAGCATGCATAGTCTTTGACCTAGTAATTCCAATGTTAAGAATTTATTTTAGCTGTGAGGATGTTCCTGGCACTTGGAAATAGCCTAAATAATGTTCACATACAGAAAAACGCTGAATCGAATGTGCCATTTCCTTAAGAAGAAATACATTAGAATTCAGTGGTGTTATTATAGATAAATCTATAGTGTTTTCTTCTTACAACGAACATGGAAATACTTAGGCACACTTAACGAACAACGGATCACAAATCATACAATAGCTGAGTAAAGTATAGAACTCATACACAATTAAGAGCTACTCACCTAGTACTCAACAACAAATTATTCTAATTATCACATACATCTTCTTTTTCCTAAGGACACAATTTAAGCCGACTCAACCTTAAAAATCTCATGTCATTTTTGTTGGCTGTTCCTCCTTAAGAAGTTTTAATAGGTTAACATTTAACAAAGGGTTTCATTCTAGCCAAATAATTATCACTTGTGTAAAAATTCATTGTGAGTTTTGGCCCAATTTCTCGTGTGCACATTAAAGGGGAACTTCTTGAGACTCACTTTTTAAAGGTAACTTTCCATCACCTTTGTCACATATAAAAAAGAAATTGTATTTTTCCAGTAAGACTCCAGACACTAAACTGTGGTGGCAACAAATTTTTTATTCAACTGGTTCAAAAAAGTTTTGAGAATGAATGCATTGAGATGACCAAATAGACTTTTAAAAACAAAATCTTTGCCAAATAGTTTACTTCTAGACTTCATTTTTTCTTTTTTTTTAGGGTAGAATTAAATACCCACAGCTACTGGTATCACAAACATGTTAACAGAAGGCTGCTCCACACTGAAAGCCTTCTAAGACGGGTAACTAGATTTACAACAAGTGTAAATAAGGGATCAAAACCATGCCATTGACAAGTGAACTTACCCCGGGCTCCTTGGAGGCTTGTCAGTTTAGTCTTTGGAGGTCCCCGAATACCATTTTAAGTGTTACCATGTTACTGCTGCTGAGTAATAGTGCAAGTGCTAAAATGCAAAATTCAGATGGTACAGGGTTTGGAAATCATGCAACTTAGATGCAGAAAAAAAATTAAAACAACGCCAAGATCCTTTTACAGAGGAAACTGAATAACGAAACAACGTGGCGATCACAACTCTAAAGGACGACTTCATTTCTAAAAGTTAAAACACGTAACTTGCAAAATGACAAACCTATTTATCATAATCTAATCAGATAAGGGCATCAGGTAAAGCTACCAACACAAAAACTGTTCATTCTTCCATCAGAAAACAAGCTCAACCCTCACAGTAGTTACATAAAAAGTACAACAGAGAATCAATAGATTATTGCTTTTACATACTTCACAATGCGTCGTGAGAGTCTGAGTTTGTAAACGATTTTATTCAACCCCCACTTGCGGAGGACAAAGCCCATTTCACTTAACACTTCCAGACAGACAACCCACCCTGCTAGTTCTTAAAGCTATCAGGCTTTGTAATGGATTCAGGCACAAGATAATTTGTGGTTTCTTCTACTTTATCCCTACTGCAATTAATTCCACTTTTCAATCCCGAACTAGAAAGGTGCTGATATTCCCTTCTTTTCGACTGCTATGCTTTGCTACAAAGCATTTGAAAATAATTAACATTGTTTTTCCCACTCCCTCAAAGAAGAGTATTTTTAGAAGGCATGATTCCCAATGGAGATTTATACAAGCCATGTAAATAGAACATCACCCAAATGCACAGAGGCACTAATAAAAAGCTGGAGGGTACTGCTTACCATTTTAGGTGTGGTCACCCAGACTTATTAAAAACTAGATTTAAAAAGAAAAAAAAAAACTTTCACTTTGGACAATGCAAGAACAAATAGCAATTAAGTCTGGGTATCAGGTGTCAATGCATGACAGGTGATGAATCCATTTGACTTGAGACAACTTTTCAAATAAGTTTATTTGAAGCAAAATAAACTATTGCCAAGAAACTTTATGAAAGTTCCATCGCAAAAGGGTCAAAAAAGGGGAATTAACTGCTATGAATTCTTTGCATTCAGGGCTGCAAAACAAAGACACATATTATTTAAATCAGTTTTATTTAAGAATTTCCAACATTGACAACTCTTATAAAAAGCATCCAAGCACAGGACACAGAACTGCATCAGACAGCATTCTCATGGGTGGCTAACAGACATAGGAACCTCCACCCTTCTTTGCGACACCCCGAGCTCACTGGTGAACTCTGCTTCCAAGTACTCCTGCAAAGCACGCCACAAGCTCAGTCCATGTTCTCAAGCCACCAGCTTCAGTTCACATGAGCACACTTACAGGTCAATAACAGAAGAGAGCACACACCATACAGCATTCACAGCAGTTGACGGAGGGGTGGGGGGGGTACAAGTATCGTTTCACTTAACACATTCAGCTGACGCGGGTTACCTAAGAACAAAACTCACTTCAAGTCTTCCAACAGATGTGGATGTCCTTTGAATGCAAAAAACATTCGTACATTATTTGCTATCATTGCTCTCTGCACACTCTCTCACCAAAGCCACAGGATTGAGAGACACATCTCGCCAAGTTAAAAAATATCCATTATGCACCACCAAGTCTCTGCACGCGCTCTCTCCTTTTCTCGCTCATACTAGCCTTTCATGCCTCGGCACCACCATCAATCCCACACAAGGTTTCAAAAGTTCAAACAGCCTTCTGGTTCCATATCACAGCCTTGCGTTCATAGCGTTGATACGACTCCATGAAATAAAGAGTAGCGGATAAAAATGGGACACCCACCGTCAAAGACGCGGCCTGTTGCAGCGTGCTGACGAGTCCTTGAATGAGAAAGCGTGCAGACAGAAGTATTCCTATGGCAGAACATTTACAGCACTACTTTCAATGAAGTGCTTCTTCCATAAACATTTGAAATGAGATGAACTGCAGAGATTAAATGAAGGCTTCATATTGTACTTTTGCATGTGAAGGGAGACAAGTGTTAAAAACAAAAACAAAAACAAAAGAACCAAACACTGTGACACCATGATCTCCAAAAAGGAGATTTTCCTAAGGGAGAAATCCATATGGTGGGGTTCAAATTAAAACAAGGAGAAAAGAATGTAGTTCTAATCAATGGTTTCCATTTGAACATGCAAAGAATTCACTTGACAAGTCCAGGGATAAAAGATTACAGGAGAAACCTTTTGATATCAATTGTAGTGTGTTGGTTTTTACCCATCAGGCAAACAGCAGTTCACTTTCAAACACTCAATATTTCAACCCTTTATGTAACAAAACTTATAAAATTCCTTTAGCTTTTCCTCTTTTTCTAAAGAAAAATGTCAAAAATACTGCTGAATATACTCCACACTGAACAAACCAATTTTGAAAATTCTTAGTACATATGTATTTTACAATATACTTACCATGTGTTTAGAAAAATTTGAATTCCCACCAGTCTCTACCAACCCCACTGTCTACATCCCCCAGCCAGAAGATTTAGAATCCATGCTTGAGCCAAACCCTCCATTAAAACCGCTGCCAGACCCTGCATTTGATGCGGATCCCCAACCAATTGCTGCACCTGAATTAGAACCGCTATAGGAGTTATTTCCAGAACCAAAGGCCTGATTTGGCTCCCTCTGCATGTTGCCCTGGCTCTGGTTGTTACCTGATGGGCCCGACTGGTTCTGCTGACTGGCTAACATGCCCATCATGCCCCAGCTGCTCTGCAGCGCTGCCTGGGCTGCAGCCATCATTGCTGGATTGATGCTAAAGGCGCCAAAGTTCATCCCTCCACCCATATTACTACCCTGATTGTTTCCCAAGCCAGCTCCACCCCCTCGACTGTTACCAAACCCACCCTGATTCCCAAAGCCACCTGGATTACCACCAAATCTTCCACTTCTTTCTAACTGTCTATTGCTATTGTGCTTAGGTTCAGCATTGGATATATGTACGCTGATTCCTTTAATGATCAAGTCCTCTCCACAAAGAGACTGGGCAACCTGTAAGAAATAAGGGGTGTAAATAAAGGAGATTAAACCACTGACTCACACATCAAAATAGCAGTTAACACTTAAGATTTCAAGCCACTGTCTAAGCTGGAGGAAAAACAAGCAATGAATGCTCATTTCATTTAAACCCATAAAATTGCCTTTAGCTCTAGTAAGGCAGCAGGGATTTGTCAGCTTATTTTCAACACATAGAACACTCCCAGGTCAGTGCCACATACTGAAAAAATATCTCAAGGGATTATCACGACTATCTAGACCCATATATCCCACAGCTCACAAGGTCAGAAAGCTTAGCTAAGGATGGGAATTAACTGGGAGAAGTTCAAGACAAATTACCTAATAGAGCTGGGACAAAATTATTCAAGAGAAAAATACCTGATCATCTGCAAAGGTAACAAAGGCAAAGGCCCGGAACGGTTTGGGAATGAAGACATCTACCACTTCTCCGTATTGGCAGAAGAACTGACGCAGCTCATCGGCGGTCATGTCCTCTGTACAGCGCCCGACGAACACCTTCCTGCTTCTCAGAGGCTCGTCTGGGCTTTGCTGGGCGAATGGAAAGAAAAGAAAACCGAGAATATTTTACAAGCCATGAAAAGAGCATTATGATAGCGGATGTAACAAAAGTTACCTGCCTTTTATGTTAGTCATTAAAAAGGAGGTACATTCTTAGTTTTCTGCATTAGCACTGCTCTTTAAGACTTCAGTGAAGAGTAATATTTTATTTCTTTTTTAAAGATCTAATTTTTAAGTTCTTGCTACACCCAGCATGGGGCTTGAACTCACAAATCCGAGATCAAGAGTCACACGCTCTACCAACTGACTCTGCCAGGCGCTCCCACATTTTTTTTTTTATTTTTTTTAAAGATTTTATTTATTAGAGAGAGAATGAGAGAGAGCACGAGAGGGAAGAGGGTCAGAGGGAGAAGCAGACTCCCTGCTGAGCAGGGAGCCCGATGTGGGACTCGATCCCGGGACTCCAGGATCATGACCTGAGCAGAAGGCAGCTGCTTAACCAACTGAGCCACCCAGGCACCCGCGCTCCCACATTTTAAAGTTTAAAGTTCAAGACTGTGTATTTTGGGGCACCTGGGTGGCTCAGTCATTAAGCATCTGCCTTTGCCTCAGGTCAGGATCCCAAGGTCCTAGGACCGAGCCCCGCATCGGGCTCCCTGCTCAGCGGGAAGCCTGCTGCTCCCTCTCCCACTCCCCCTGCTTGTGTTCCCTCTCTTGCTGCGTCTCTATCAAATAAATAAATAAAATCTTAAAAAAAAAAAAAAAAAAGACTGTGTATTTGGATTAAGGAAAGTCAATGATAGAAACACCCTGGCACCAGTCAGGCCTTCGTGACAAGATTAATGTATTCTCATTGTCCTTGTGTTTTAAACCTGTAACTATGTAAGAAACTCTCCACTCACTAGAAATAACAAGAGAAAAGAATAAAACGAATAAACTTTTAGTTCAGAGAGGGAATAAACTAAAGATTTCAAACAAACAAAATATTCAGCACGCATGAAGGTCCTAAGGTTTTAACAAGGCAAATGGTTTCAGGAGTTCACCAGCCACCACCTTTTAAGAGTGCATTTTATGCATTATTTTACAGTGTCTTCTAAGGAAGTCTGTTAGCAAAAATTCCCAAAGCACAGGAAAAAAGAGCAAAGTACCTTAGAATTAGGAAGTTTACAGTCACACCACCGTCCATCTATCATATGTCGCTGTGACATTACTTTAACCTGGGTTTCATATTCCGTAAAACGAACAAAGCCAAACCCCTTTGAATGGCCAGTTTTAATATCTTTCTTGACCTGGGGGGGGGGGGAAACCAATGAAATATACTAGAAACACACACACACCCAAATCAGTTCCTTAGTAATTTGAAGGGCTTTACTTCGATGGAACTGCTTAATTAAAACTTAAACCAAGTTATTCTTTTTTTTTTTTAAAGATTTTATTTATTTGACAGAGACACAGCGAGAGAGGGAACACAAGCAGGGGGAGTGGGAGAGGGAGAAGCAGGCTTCTCACCGAGCAGGGAGCCAGATGCGGGGCTCGATCCCAGGACCCTGGGATCATGACCTGAGCCAAAGGCAGACGCTTAACGACTGAGCCACCCAGGCGCCCCCAGTGTTTTTCTTTTTAGAGTTATTTATTTTAGTAATCTCTACACCCAATGTGGGGTTCCAACTCACAACCCTGAGACCAAGAGTCACATGATCCCGACTGAGCCAGCCAACTGCCCCCCCCACCTTTAAAAATAAGTGTTCTAAAATCTCCCAGCAGGGTGCCTGGGTGGCTCAGTTGGTTAAAATCTCCCAGCAATATAAGTTACAAAGAAATAGGCTATGGAGCGCCTGGGTGGCTCAGTCAGTTAAGTGTCTGTCTTCGGCCCAGGTTATGATCTCAGGGTCCTGGGATCAAGCCCTGCATTGGGCTCCCTGCTCAGTGGGGAGTCTGCTTCTCCCTCTCCCTTTGCCCCTACCCCTGCTCTTGGCGCTCACGCTCTCTCAAATAAACAAAATCTTAAAAAAAAGAAAAAGAGAAAGAAATAGACTAATGTCACCACCTTCCCTTAAGCTTTTATGTAGAATTTTATAACGTGAAAGGCAAAAACATAGGTTATATGCATAAAGAGAAACAGTACAACCCAAATTTTGTTTTTGTTTAAGTAGGTTCTAGCCCCAACATAGGGCTTGAACTCACGACTCTGAGATCAAGAGTTGTGTACTCTACCCATTGAGCCCGCCAAGCACCCCAACCCAAATTTCTTTTCAGCATCCGCTATGCATGCATGTAATAAATATTAAAAACACTGTCTGCTGAGCATGAAGGGCAGTGTTACCGAACTACAGGAATTCTGGATGTTCATTTATGGAAGAGAGAAATCGTTACATGAAATCAAATTTACCTGAACCATAAGAACTTCTCCAAAGGTACTAAAATATTCTTTTAGATCCTGCTCAGTCGTTTTCCATGGAAGACCCAACACTATTAAATCAGACGTTTTCTGGACAGCTCTTTTCACTTTCACTGCTGATGAAGCATCTGTCTCATCCATTTTTCTTTTGTTATCTAAACAAAATGAGCAGAAACCTTTCAGAACCCCTCACTTAACATGTCTTAAAGCACATCAGCCCCTACATCTAACAACGATAAGCAAAAAGATTCTAAGAATAAGATACTAAAAACGTTTGGCAACGAGAGAGGTCAGCTCTCAAAGACAGATGGAAGGATTGAGGAAGTGGCTGAGGGGCTTTGCTGGTGCAAAGGCAGGGACTCTGACCTCTGGTTTTGTGAGATCTCAAGATTATGATGGTTTGTTCTCCCCTCTCAAAAGGCACATCAAAACAAAAATAATTCTACTTCACTTCGACTTTAAAAACAAAGGAAAAAAAAAACCAGGCTAAAAGACCATACTGTACTATCTTTGTGCCTATTAAATAGATTTGCTTCATTATTTTAAAGCCCATAACTTAAAAGTTACATACCAAAAAGCAGATCAAACTTTTATCTCCAGCTGTGGATTTAAGGGTGATTTCAATTTTCTTTTTCTTTCTTTTCTAAACTTTCAACCATGAACTCATGTTGATTTTGTAATTAAAAAGAAAGTCTTGGGTTATTTTTAAAAAACAGTATTTGGAAGGGAAAAGGAGGAACTAAATAACATTTTAAAAAATAAACTTTCATTTTTTATTTTAAAGATTTAGCATTTATTTTTTGAGAGAGAGCGCACACAGAGGGAGAGGGAGAAGCAGACACCCAACTGAGAGCCTGATGTGGGGCTCAATCCCAAGACCCCGAGGATCACAACCCAAGCTGAAGGCAGATGCCCAACTGACCGAGCCACCCAGGCGCCCCTAGGCTTTTTTAGAGCAGTTTTAGGTCCCCAGCAAAATGGAAAGGAAGGCAGAGATTTCCCATACCCCCCTTTTACCTCTACAGGTGCATAGCCTCCCCCATTATCATGATATTCCTGCCCCATCTAAGATGGTACATTTGTTACAAGTGATGAACCTATATCGACATATTATCATCTAAATGACATTTTAGATTTGGGTAACAGCATACTAAAGAAAAACCAAGTTGATGCTGTTAAAAATGTTCTCAAAGTTTAAGTCAATGTCTTGCAGAGTAACCAACTACAATACTTTGTTGCAACATCGAGTTATAATAAAAGTAACAGACATATATCAACTAAAGCAGATTCTTATTGCTAAAATGTACCTGTTTCCTCCACAAACTTCATGTTTCCTTTTTTAAGATTTAGAACACCAGGGATACGTGGCAGTGAGAGTAAGACCAAAACCCCAAATTATAATTGCACTAATTCAAGATTTGGATTACTGCAACTGATAATCATTTAAGGATGGAAGAATCAGATTAACTGAATGAATGATATAAGCAAGAAACCAGAACAAAATACTGGGCACTTTAAAAAGTATCTATTTACCACAGACTGATCATTGCAAAACATTCTTAGCTGTTCCTTAAATTTGGCAATACTTGTTCAAATGATTAAGCACATAGTTTTTTTCTTTAAAAAAAAATGTTCTGTATTTCCAATTTTTACTAATTTAGAGTAGCGGCGTTCCAAATTAGTCTATTAGTAACGTTTAAAGAATATTGTGTTATAGGAGACGCCGTGAAATGAGGCCATAATCCAACTTAGACACAAACACGACTATACTTTAGCATTGCAAGAGCAAATGGCAACAAACCTTTGGGATAGTTGACAACATATACCAGATTTCCCCAGCCAGCATCAGGGGCATGCAGAATTCCTTCTACCAGCCGGACACCTCTCATACACTGGGATACTGGATTCCTGTAGCGCAGTCCACATGCCCCGGGAAACTGGGCTGTAACTGTGGACAGCAGCACTGTCCCATCGTCTTCTGATGGTATTTCAATGGGCTCGTCATTCTCATCTTCGGTTACCCGAATATATTCAGACATCTTTTCTTATTTTTCTTAAAGGAAAAAGAAATATTAATAACGAACACTCATGTCAAAGTAACTGTTTCCTCAAAAACCACCTGATTAATAAACACTACCATGTCAACGTTCTAGGACTTCTAGAAAAACTTTCGGGTTTGGGTTCTTATAGATGTTAGTTATCACTTAAATGAGATAACGGCAAGGATAGTGCCTTGCTAGTTCATTCCTGCCATAAACAGGCATCAGATGCTGCAACCCGTCAGTCCCAGTGGGCAGGCTGGCTACAAGGGGCGCGGGGGAGGGGACGCAGAGATGATCGCAAACAAGCCATTTATTTATTACAACCGTGATATATGCTACTGGAAAGAAGTCAATCATCTTGGGGGCCGAGGAGAACCTAAGCTGAAACGTGTGTGGGAATGAGAGCACATTTCCCTAAGAACGCGATGCAGAAGCTGGGTCTTGAGGAGGAACAGAAGCAGTGAGCCAGGTGAAGAGAGCAGGAAAAAAGTTCCTCCCTGTTCCTCACTGTGGAACTTCCGGAGGGGGGGGGGTCTCCAAAGTTGACCAAGGACAGCGACTACAGGTCCTTCCCGACGCGGGCCGCTACCTACCAGAAGCCAGTGCGTGGCGGCCGAGGGAAGAATTTTTAAGCGCAACCCGAGGTGCAGACGCGGGGACCCGGGGCCTAGGCTGGCGGGGTCCCCCGGCGTGCCAAGTGCCGGAGGGCCCAGGGCAATGGCCCGGGCCCGGAGGCCAGGCCAAAGCTCCGCCTCGGGCTGCACGGCCCCGCGGGCCCAGCGTCCCTGCTTCGGCGCCGGCTGCCACCCGGCGCCAAGTTCCCTAACGACGCGCCCGCGCGAGCCCGCTCGGGCAGGACGAGGCAGGCCCAGCCCCACGGCTCCCTTCCCGGGGCGGAGGCGGAACCCGCTGCGTCCGCCTCGGGCCGCGCAACGCGGGAGCCGGGACGCCTAGGGCGTCCTCAGTGAGAAGCGTCCGCGACTCACCCGCTAGGCCGCTGCTAGGAAGCCCGACAGGGAAACCGAAGCAGCGAGGGATCCAAGAGCAGCCCAGCTACCGCTTCGCTCCCACAAAATGGCGCTAGGGCCGCCTCCTCCCCCCGCCGGCCGTCGTCCTCTCCCACCGGCCCGCGTCAGGAGGGGAAGACGCCGCACGGAGGCACAACGGCCTTCTCCCCAGAGAGGCAGAGCTCCCTGCTGGGAGGCTGAGCAAAGGGGGCGGATTTAAGGGCTATAAGAAGACCAGCAACCCGGACCAGAAAAGCTAAAAGTTGAAAAAATAAGGAAGCCTAGGCTGTTGGCTCTCCCCACGTAGCGTAACAGATGGCTTCGTCCGACCAACCGTCGGCCCCGGGTCCCGGCCCGAGCTCGCGCACTCTGAAAGTGCGCGAGACTAGCGCCGGGGCAGGGCTAGGAGGGGCGGGGCGGGGCCAGGTGAGGTGGGGGCGGGGCGGGGCGGGGCCAAACGGGGGCGGGAAGCCGGATCCCGGGTCTTCCTGACTTTCCCGAGGCTTGAGCGAGCAGGGGAGCCAAGCACCCTTTGTTTAGAAAGCCAGCCGGGTGCATCCTCTCCTCCCTCCCCGAGCCAACCTCCACTCCTGGAAAGATGACTTTGTTTAAATAAACAAATGATAGCGCCTACTCTCTGCCCCGATGGTCTCGTGTGTGGAAGGTACTATTGATACAATTCGCATGTACAGGGGAGGAGGAAACTGAGGCACACAGAGGTTAAGTATCTTGCATGAGGTCACCCAGGTAGTAAATGGTGGACCTGGGATTTGAACCCTAACCCTAATGCTAACATATTCCAGCTCCAGGCCTCTAATAATAATACTGCGTATTAGGATACGCCTTGCCTAAGCTCACAGGGCCAGTCAGTGGTGGAGTCGGGATTTGAACCCAGGCAGTCTGGCACTGGAGAGGAGGAGCTCTACTGCCTCCTCCTTACAGCCTCCTAGGGAATAAATATTAAGACCGACAAGTCCGGATGGGTGCTGTTTATATTAACCAGATTACTCCTAACTCGATTTGCAGAGATAGGTGAAGAGAGAATGGAAGAAGACAGATTGAGTAACCTTTACCTCCGTCCAAGGGCGGCCCTGTACACAGAGGACCGCAGAGTTGGGCACATGCCCCCCATGGCCCATTTTGAAGCGCTGGATGGGCTTGGAGGCCCGAGTCATCTGAACTAATCCACTTGGCCATTTTGCAGGGAGAAGTTAGTTTTATTTTCTCTCCATTTTGCAGAAGAAACTGGGGCTCAGAGGCCGTGTGACTTGCCTGAGGTCAAACACTTGCCCAAATGCGTCACCCAGCCCATAAATTCCTCTCCCAGGCCTATCAGTCCCTGAAGCTGTGTTCCATCCTCCTCCCTGGGCCACTCTGTGCCATGATTGAGACCAAGGCATTTAGTGTGGGCAGCTCTGTGGGCCTCAGATGCCAGCCGTAGGTGGGAGGAGCAGGGTATGCAGAAACTGGAGAAAAATCAAACAGGGACAAAACCACAAAAGCTGTCCCTTCCCCCAGAAGTTTTCAGGCCAGTTGAGAAGACCAGCAAATTCGGTCTCGAAGAGAACAAACACTCCTTCGGGAAGAGAATCAACGATAAAGGCCAGAGGGAGGCTGAACAGCAGAGTCCTTCTGCTCCAACTGGAGCTCATCTCTGGATTTCAGCCCTACAGTCACGACTGTCAAATGTTCTACTTGTCTGAAATATGTTTTGTAAGTTCTCCTGGTTTGTTTGCTTGTTTGTTCATAGCCCGCACACATTAAGCCCGAGGATTGTTAGAAGGCCAAACATTTATCTGCTCTTAACCATCTCCTCTCTTCTGAGCATTTATTAAATGCTTTCTGAAGACAGTGGATCAGGAAGGATAGATGGAACTCTCACACCTCCTCCGGCACTGTGCCAAAACCACGGTGTAAAGACACACAAGAAAAATGAAGGCCAGTCACGGTGGGCATGGAGTGGTCTAGAATCTAGGGACAGAGAGTTAATTAGAAGACAATCCCAGGAGACATAAAGCACACAGGTGTCAGTGCTAGGCAGATGCTGGGGGACCAAGGGGTTCCCCAATAGCTCTTTGGGGTGCTTCCAATATATTGGACTTCCAGTATAAGGATGAGGAGTCTCAACTGGAAAGAAAGGACACTGGGTGGGGAACCAGAGTGTCTGGGAACAGACCCCAGTTCTCACCCTACTCTCTAGGCCACACCTCTTCACCTCCCCTTCCCCTCCTTAGATTCCCAGCTCTGCCAGCTTGAGAAAGTGTACAGGATGGAGTTCTAAATGCATTCTTGCACACTAAAAGAAATATCAAGATAATAAAAGTATTTAAATAAAAGCAACTTTGTCAAGATTTACTTTTCTCTTAGTCCCTGAGTTTTTAGGTCCCACCAAAATTAGAAGCTGCCTCTCCAACTGGTCTAGGTCTAACTTAGATTTTTCTAAAATTTTTCACTGTGAAATAATTTTTTTTTAAATTTATGTATGTATATATGTAATCTCTACACCCAACATGGGGCTCAAACTTACAATCCAGAGATCAAGAGTTGCATACTCCACAGACTGAGCCAGCCAGGTGCTCCTCCAAAATAATTTAAAACTTAAAATAAAGTTGTAAGAATAGTAGAAAGAACTCTTGTGTAATTTTTGCCCATATTTACCAACTGGTAAAATGTGTCACATTTGCTTTATCATTCCTTCTCTTCATAGACATATAAAGTAACATGCAGGGGCACCTGGGTGGCTTAGTCGTTGGGCGTCTGCCTTCGGCTCAGGTCATGATCTCAGGGTCCTGGGATCGAGCCCCGCATCGGGCTCCCGGCTCTGCGGGAAGCCTGCTTCTCCCTCTCCCGCTCCCCCTGCTTGTGTTCCCTCTCTCGCTGTCTCTCTGTCAAATAAATGGATAAAATCTTTAAAAAAAAAAAAAAAGTAATATGCATATATCACAGCACTGTTAATAATAATAAAATATATAAATGAAGCCACAGCATTACTGTCAAATTCAGGAATTTAGCATAATACAGGTTATAAATGTTTGGACCCAAAAGCACAGAAGCAATGTGTCCTCTGTGTGTGGCACATTAGGAGACACCGGGCGTCTGGTGGCCCCGTTACTGGTGATGGCACCTTAAGCCCCTGGTTAAGGTGGGGTCTTCTGCTCTTCTCCACTGTGAAATTACCAGTTTTCCCCTTTGGGAACTAATACTCTGTGGGTAGATACACTGAGACCTTCCCAAATATCCTCTCTTCAAATTTTCACCCAATGGTTTTAGGATCCATTGATGACTCTTGCCTACTTAGTTATTATTAGACTGGTTGCAAAATGATTTTCTAGTTCTGCTATTTCTTCAACAATGTTTAAGCTTTTTATTTAAAAAAAATCTCCAACTATGGAAATAATTGAAGCAAAGATAGAACGAACGTCAGCTCAGCTGCTACCCACATGCAATGACTGTTACTATTTTGTACTCTTTGTTTATCTAGCTGGCCATTTTTTGCTGGACCATTTTGGAGTCACAGTCGTTATGACATTTCACCCCCTGAATGCTTCAACATGCATCTTGTAAAAACAAGGACAGTCTTCTACATAACCACAATGCTGTTATCACACCCAGTAATTAACAATTATTTCCTAATATCAGCTCATATCCAGTCCATATTCAAATTTCCACAATTGAGCCCCAAAATGTCTTTAAAGATTATTTATTTATTTATTTGTCAGAGAGAGAGAGAGAGAGTAAGCGCACAAGCAGGGGTGAGCGCCAGGCAGAGGGAGAAGCAGGCTCCCTGCTGAGCAAGGAGCCCAATGTGGGACTCGATCCCAGGACCCTGGGATCATGACCTGAGCCGAAGGCAGATGCTTAACAACTGAGCCATCCAGGTGCCTCTCTCTCTTTTTCTCTCTTTTTTGATAGCCACTATGAACTCTCGGATTTTATTTATTCAATGATTTACAATAGGTTACAGTCATTAGTGTTTTTAATGATCAAATTGTCCTAATGGTGGCCTGGGGAGCCCTTTAAACTAGCTTTGGGTCCTTTTAATGTGTTCCTATTAGCCTCTGAGCCTGTTCTTGCTTTCTGGCACAAAAAGTTCACCTTATACCTTCCCTGCACCAGCGCTGGAATCAGCCATTCCTCTAAGGAGTTCTGATTACTTTTACTCAGAAAAGACATTTAGAAACTAGAATTTGGGCATTATGTGTACTCATTGCTACTGTGGTCATCACAAGCATTTTTGAAAGGTAAAAACACGTAGTATCCAGGCAAGGTATTTTTATTTCATCACGATTTACTTTCTTTTAATTTAAAATGTGCCTTAGAACCTGCCAAAGTTAAGATATGCTTCCCTGTTTGGCCTGGGTCTTAGATTTTTAAAATTATTTTTTGTAAACAGCCAATTAGTGCAAAAATACCAGTAACAAAAAACTGTAGTCCCTTGTTCTCCCCATATATATACTTATATATATTTAAATAATAAATCTAGTCTGTAAAATTTTGATTCATTCATTTTAGAGATTATATGTTGATTTCTTATTATGATCAGTGAAGGTTTTCCTCTCACAAACACTCTTGTATCATTCCCTCCATCCTCATAATATATCACAATTTTTAGTTAAGTACACATTCAATGTTTTCCTTATTATAACTAAATAAATTTTATTCAATACTGAGCCAAGAAGTATTCTTCCTTGTGCAACGTTTTCTTTTTTCTGGAGTTAATAATCGCCTTGTTTTTTCCACTTGTTTTGTTCTTGAACATCCAAATCTCCCTACACCCTCAAAAAGCTGTATGAACCTTTCAGTTTTCCCTGGAGTCAAATCTGTTGGCTGTCATCTTGGGACATCCATACGCTTGAAAATGGCTTTATTCAATGATCACACCTGACTGATAGTCTGGTTGCATATAGAATTTTAGGTTGCAAATTATTTTTTCTCAACATTTTGAAGACATTCTCCCACCACCCTCTAGCTTCTCTTGTTGCTTTTGAGCGGTCTATTGCATCCTTGGTCATTCATATAATCTGCACGTTCTTTCTGGAAACATACATAATCTTCTCCTTATCACTCATAGCCTGA